CAGTGTAGAACCAGAACCGGCCTCAGTGTAGAACCAGAACCGGCCTCAGTGTAGAACCAGAACCGGCCTCAGTGTAGAACCAGAACCGGCCTCAGTGTAGAACCAGAACCGGTCCCAGTGTAGAACCAGAACCAGCCTCAGAGTAGAACCAGAACCGGTCCAGCGCAGACATTTTAAACATTTTAAACGCTTGTTGAAGCAGGTAAATCCTGTTCTTCAGGGCGGACTGAAGCCAGGTGGAACTCCTGGTTTTGGAGGTGCAGAGAACCCAGGTGAGCACGAGGAGAACAGGTAAAGTCCACACAGAGACCCCAGGTCTGAACCGGGGATCAAACCTGGACCTTCTTGCTGTGAGGCGTCGGTGCTAACCACTGATCCACTGTGCTGCCATGTAACCTCCTACAGACTGGACGGACTGACAGAACCGGTTCTGAGGGACCGTGTTTGTTTGGACTGAGCTGAGCTCACACAACAGAGTTTCAGGGTCACAGAGACCTGACCTCAGGAAGTCCAAACCCTGCTGCTGGTCCAGCAACACAAACAGAGAGGGGCCCTGATGGTCCGTTCTATCCGACCTGGACTCAGAACTCTTTATGGTCCTCAGTTCAGCACAGAACCAACCTACGGAGACCAATCGGTGCCTTACCAGTGGTTCAGTCCTGGTCCTGAAGGAGCCTACCTGCAGGCTGTAGTTGTTTACCTGCTCTGCAGAAACCAGGTGTGTCAAATCAGGCTGAAACATGCAGGTATGGGTCCTGGAGGACCAGGACTGAGAACCACAGCTTTAAATCACTCGTACACTGACGGGACACAGCACAGACAGTGAGAAGAGTCCTGCTCATGGACACAACAACTGAGACAGCTGGAGCAGGGGATTGAACCAGCAACCAGGGCTGCATGTTTTTAGGAACCCTGTGATGTGTGATAACAGTTCTCAAAGGGATCCAGGATCAGTTGTAACAGTACTGTGTGCTAGCACCGATGCTATGTTGCCTTATATGTATTAGCTCGGTGCTAACACGACAAACAAGCTAATCTGAGGTTCTTCTTCCATGAAGCAGCTC